CTCTGTTTGAACTGCAGGAGATTGTCTTGACCATGTCTACATGCCTAAATGCACTGAGTTGCCGCCATGTGATTGGCTGCTTAGAAATGAAGTGTTAACGAGCAGTTGGACAGGTGTACCTAATAAAGTGGCCGGTGAGTGTATAGTGATACTGCAATATCGTGATAATATTGTATCGTGACCCAAGTATTGCGACATGTATCGAATCGCAATACTACTTCCAGTAATGTATTTTGGACAGGTGTACCTAATGAAGTGACCGGTGAGTGTATTATTCTTCCTCTAAAGTTCATCAAGCAAATATGTTCTGTTCCTTATTTCAAGAATCACTGTTTTATTAAGTTTGACATAAATGTATTTTTAAATAAAATGTATTTATTTAATGTTTTTAAATCTATTTTCATTATTTAATCAGGCATTTTACAGTTTAGTGGTATATTTGATGTAAAATAATGGGATAAATTCTACATTTACTTAATCTATGAAACATTTATTTCAACCATGGGACATCTGTATATAATAAATACTCCAGGTAAAATCCATCATTATAAACGCCTCTTATAGTCCAACAAAATGTGGCAGATACATGTAAATCTGGAGGATAAAGATACTCTGTTACGAAAAAAAATAGCTTGTATTGAAACAAAATAGCTTGTATTTGTATTATATATATATATATATATATATATATATATATATATATATATATATATATATATATATATATATATATATAAATAAAGAAGGCTCCGGTTTTATTCATGGGGATGACGTTTTGGAGAAATTTAAAGGTGGGTTATGTTAGGTTTAAAGCTTGCCATATAAAATATGTAGAAGATGCTCTGGTCATATGAGACTCCCTCGTAAAAATGCTTTGTGTGGAGAAAAACTTGCTCTTCATTACTCTGAAACCAACTCCATGCTGTTCATGTTACAGACTCTGCATCACACTGACAACACCAAACCAAAACAATGCAAAATTCCACCATACATATGTAATGCTCTGAACTTCCATATCGGTGCGTTTTTCTCACAAAGTTTTTCCTCCCTCACTGTTGACATTTGATCACTGCTGCACTTTAAGGAATGCCATGAAAGCTTTACAAAATCAAATTTCGTTTTGTATACACTCTGTTTATACAAAATAACAGTAAATTTGTCTAAGTCTAAAACATGGTGGTGGCAGCATTGTGCTCTGTTTTTACAGGGAAGTCAGTTGTATACGTTTAATTGGATGAAGCTAAAGATGTTTAATCCTGGAGGGATTTGGATTGGGTTGGGATAGACTTGAGACGGGGAGGACGGTTTACTTTTAGTTGGACAACAATTCTTAACAAACTGTACAGCAAGAACTACAGTCGAAATGTTTGGATCAAAACATACGGTGTGCTTGAAGGTCAGTGACTAAATCCAATTGGTAATGTGTGTCAGGAACTGAAAACTATTCACTGAAGCTCACCATCTTGTCTGATGACTGGAGCTATTTTACCAGAAAGCTAATGACAAACTTGTCAGTTGGAAAAAATGGAAATCTAGATAAGTAATTTTTCTTAAAATAAGTGCATTTGTTCTTGGATTTTTGCCAATGGAATAAGACAATTTACACTTAAAATATGGTAAGAAAACACAATTGGTTTGTCTTATTTCGAGTGCATATTATATAATTATCTTATTTTAAGAGTAAAAACACTCATTCCATTGGCAAATCATCTCATTTACCTACTCAAATTAAGGCTAAATACACTTAATTTAAGAAATTTTTACTTATTTTTAGATTGTTTTTCCAGTGAGACATCTCCCTAAAAGACTTGCAACCATAAGAGCAGCAAAAAGGGGGCTGAATGCAATTACGCTCAACATTATTTACACAAAATCCACTGTCCTTTCTATATGCTTACTCACAATAAATCCCAATGAGATGTATTAAAGGTGCTAGCAGTAACAAAGAAATGTGGAAAATAGAAAGACATTTCACCATATTTGGCTCTGAATGCTACAATCAGTAACCACTTATTTATGGATCTAACTGACTGTTTTCTCTTGTGTTGGTGCACAGCTCCAGCTCATACCGAGACCTGGGCAGGAATGTGTACGTTCCCTACACTCAGGGCCGCTGGGAGGGGGAGCTGGGCACCGACCTGGTCTCTGTGCCACACGGCCCTAATGCCACGCTGCGTGCCAACGTCGCTGCAATCACCCAGTCAGACCGCTTCTTCATCAACGGATCAAACTGGGAAGGAATCCTGGGGCTTGCCTATGCCGATATAGCTCGAGTAAGCATTATAGAGATTACTTATCTGGTAAACATCAGATGTTTGTTTTGAAGAGGAGCTGTGGAGTAAAACTTGCAATCGTTTCAACAGCAAAGTGCATCTGGAAGAGTTGCTCCTTATGTTACAAAAGAAGGAAACTAGAAGAACTTCACTAGACCTTAGTTATTACCAGGATTTGTCCTGCTCACAATAAGTGTATATTGCATTAATTCCTCTCTAGTAACATCTGCAGTTGAAATGATCTGTATTATTAAAGTAAGCTTCACCACCAGTATCAACGTTCTGCAATAACCTCAAGGACACTGAATACCTCATGGATAACTCTGAACAGGACAATGGTGTTTACCACATGGCCAGTTTGAGCTGTTATCAGCTCATCCAGCCATCATTTAAGCACAGTGAAATAAATATATAAACAGCAATTGTTTTAGGGATGGAATTTAGCAACATTTTCCCTCTAAGGTAAGTAATTTTTTCTTAAAATAAGTGCATTTCTTCTTGGATTGAGGAAGTAAAAGATACATTTTGCTAATGGAACAAGACAATTTACACTTAAAATAAGAAAACACAATTGCATTGTCTTATTTTAAGTTCATATTATCTACTTATCTTATTTTAAGAGTAAAAAAAATGTATTCCATTGGCAAACTATCTCATTTACGCACTCAAATTAAGGGTAAATACACTTAAATCAAGAAATTTTTACTTATTTCTTTTACTTCATTGTTATTTAAATTTTTGCAACTTACACAGACATATACATACAAGCCCACATTCAGGCTGCTGCTCTGTACGGTATACTTAAAAAAGAACAAAACTTTGAAAGCATATACAACAAGTTAGGCTTACAAGTAAAGTAGGTCACATGGTTAAACATAAGTAACTTACAAACATAACTGTAGTTAGTAATTAAATAAGCAGCACCAATGGAAATAACAAAAATTAAATAGAAAATAATAAGTAAAGATAGAAAAGTACAATAGAAATGAAATAAAATACAATGAAAGAAAGAAAAATTAAATAAAAAAATTAAAAAAAAAGTTTTATTGCATTAATATGGTCATGGCCGGTTTCCACCTATTAACAAATATGTCTTTTTGAAGCCTCAGGCAATAAGTTATTTGTTCCATATGATAGATTTCCCAGACCTTTTCTATCCACATTTTGTATGTTGGCGGGGCGGCTTCAACCATTTAACTGTGATGCATGTAAAAGCTGCAATCAGTAATATTTGTAGAAGGTATTTTTTTCCTCTTCCAGTTAGGGGTGTGGGAAATAATCGTTTTGCCGATATATCGTGATATTCGGCTGCCCAATATAATATCGATCTTTCACTTCTTAGTATCGATTTTCAAAAAAAAAAATGGTTACATAAAACATTGATGGGAAAATGGGCTACCTCTGCACCCTCACTCTGGCAGAAAGCGCTGTGGAGCCCTTTAACTGTGCGTGCAGCACCAAATCTGTATT